GCACACAAGCAAATGGGGACCCACAAGTTTTCAAAATACCATATCCTCTATATTATGGAGAAAGCGCTTAGGGCCCAAAATTGACTTAATCTGGGCATGCCTACAATGATTAATATATATAATAATAAATAAATACCTGGCTCATCATCAACTAGCAGTGAAGAACCAGACGCTGCAGATTCGTGACTGAAGCTGGGTTTCTTGGAGTACCTGAACGAACGCAAGTCACCAAGAGCATTTGGACTGGGGCTGTCACTGTCCCTGTCCACTGGGGTGCCCATCTGAAAAACGTCCAAACATTCGTTGAAAAAATACCTTGAACATCGGAATATCGACAAGTACGACCGCAAAGTGCGTTTCAACATTCTCAACGGTAGAAAATCGTTCAACAAACTATGGCCCACTAACCTTTGTGTTCGGTGGCGTGCGTCAATAAATGTAGACGACGACCAGTGACCGCCGGACGCCAAGATCTATGAGTTGTATTCAGGCGTGCCGTTTGCGGGCAGTTCGAAATTCAAACTTCGATTAGATAGTGTCGTTGAGCAAATCACACACAAACGGTCGCACATGCAACGATGCACAACTGCACAAGATACAAGAACAACGGAGAAAAATAAAAAGAAACCGTAGTGAATAAAAAAAAAAAGATTGATATTGCTTATCAGACCACTCTTGGAGGAATAAATTACGCTATATAGTCACGGTCAACAGCAGCTGCTGTTGCTTGCTGATGATACCGCGAAATCGAAAAACACGTTCTAAATTTAGATCGGATATTTGGAATGTTGGATCACAAATCACAATATTCACAGAAATACAGAATACAAATAATAAATATACAATATTACGGACTACAACAATCAACAAGTAACAACAATTAACAAGGTCCGTTTTCCCTGCAGCCTATATAGGTATAGCCACATAGGTCCTCTGTAAGGTCATTGGTGGTCAAAAACTGCTTTTTAAAATAATCGGGAATAACAAAACACACAAAAAAAATACTTAAAAACGAGAATCTTTACGGAAAACCAGTTTTATTATTACATTTTGTATTTTTTCGTTGTAATTGAAAAATAAATAACTAGAGACATAAAAATATTTTATTTAAACTTATGATGGCTATAAATGTAATTTTTTTGCTATTATTATTGGGTTATTATTCAATTCCTGTGTTATTTTTAGTGGATTCATGTTGTTGACAACGGTCAACGACTCTCGACTGCAGCTATCGATCTCTTGACGTGTATTATATTTATAGTCCATCGAGTTTATCATTATTACAATATTGTTTTAATTTATTAATAATAAAAGAGTAATAACAATTTGATATTTATTATATCAAATAATTTTTATTTGTGAATTAGGTATGTTTAATAAAAACAAGATTTTTAATATAATTATAAAAATATTTTTATTGAAGTATAGTAAGAATTAAATATTGAGAGGACGTCGCCCCACATGTGTTGTGTCCGTCTTTAAAACATATAACATGGTAAAAACTGTTTTTCGCAAAACAATTTTACTCCCTCTCTATTTAATATAATAGAATTACCAAAATTCCACAATCCGTGTGTTATTGTGCGTTATCTGTGTCGTAGACCGTAGTGTTTTCATATTTTGAAAACACTAACCAATCATCTTTAATAAATAAATGAAAAAACCTAATGTTCTCAAACTAATAACTTTAAATGTACTTTTTTTCCAGTTGTGAACCGACGGCGCCGCGGGGACTGCTTTCGCAATGCTTCCGCGAAAACTTTAAATGTACTTATTTAAATAATAAAAAACCTACGAGTCTAGACACAGATCAATTTCTTCGATAGACGTTGTGGAATTTTAGAAATTTAGAGGGAGTAAAATTGTCTAGCACAAAACAGTTTTTGCTATGATGTACATAGACACATAGTACATTTGAATTTGTAAGGCGGAGGGACATATGGGTGTGACGTCGAAAAAAGAATATGGAAACACCCGTCGTAAATAGTTTCTGTTTGATCGGAATCTAAAAATTAAACACAAAAACGAAAAATGTTTGCAGTAGTCGCCATCTAGTGACAAAAATCAGTGACGCATGAGTGTCGAGTAAAACGGATAAAACGACATCGGTAGATGACTCTTCCGTTATTACTTAGGTATTGTCCTGAAGGGGAATAGTAAGTTCCTACACGAGAGTAGCAGGTAAACAATTACATATGTTAGTTCCTACACGGGCATATGTAAGTTCCTACAGGGTAAAAACCAGGTACCTATGTTAGTTCCTACACGGCGGAAAAAGATACGCATGTAAGTTCCTACACGGCGGAAAAAGGTACATATGTAAGTGTACCTATATGTGTATATATGTGTAAATATGTATATAAGAATAAATATATGATGATTATATATTATATCTAGACACGCGGTAGCGTGTCAAGCCAAGTTCTAGCTAACAGAGCTGGCGGGCAGCACCGTGTGTAATATTACACGAACCATTTGGAGCCACTTTTGACCCCCTCATAACTCAAAAACTATTCCACATAAACATGTCAAATTTGGCTCATATATTGAGACTAACGAGATACATATTATGTGCTCTAAATTTCATAAACACACTTCAAACCGTCATTTAGATATTAACGTCCGAAAATCGTCATTTTTATCACTGACTGACCTATAGATCAAAATTCTAACCCAGTTCCAGATGACCTAGAAAGTTCAAATTTGGCATACAGATAGGTAGTTAGGTAAATACAAAGGAAAAAATCAGAAACTTGAAAATTTTTTAATTTTTAATTTTTCAATCAATTGATTTTATTATAATTTTGCAATTATTTTATCTATTATGTTTAATTTTTCAATTAATTAATGAATTGCCTCTAATTTAATGTAATGTTGACTTAAATAACCTTTCCCGTATCGCCGCTCCAAAAATACGACTAGCCGAATATGTGTCGATATCGTCGACCAACATACTTTTTTTTCTATCTATGTATGTAATTAATATTATTTTTTTAAATATTACAATTAAAATAATTAAATAATTATTCTTACAAATTATGAATTATCCACCCAACAGTAGAAACTACAGTCAATAAAATTATGATAATTAAGAATATTATACTCAAAAAGAGTTAAAATAATTGTATATTAATTTTACATATATTTTATACTCTGTATATACAATAGAAAATATTTTATAATAAATATTATACGTTATATTGTTATACGTTAGTAACTGAATTATAGTATTTAGTAATAAACTTTATTTATAGAATACGTCATGGTAAATTATTGTATCGAAATGAAGTCGTTTCGGGGGAAAAATCAGTACTAAGAATAAACAGAAATAAAAACCAATAATTATGTTAGGTAATATATTATACATAAATATAAATATTATTTAATATTTATATTTCAAAACATATATAATGTTCTCATCGTCGGTCAAAATAATGAATCGTCAATTCATTGCCGTGGTGTAGCGGGGTGGGGAGCGGTGCGATAAAACCTTGACGGGAACGTGCCCGAGCAATAGTTTATTTACAATAGTTTAATAAAACATTTGGAAATAATTTTATTATGAATAAATAGCTATTAAAAATTTACATACAAAAAGTAATGATATCCCAACAAAACATATAATATGTAAAATGATAGCCAAGTTCAATTATGTAATATATGCTTTGATTGTTGACTTCAACGACAAAAGAAGTGAGATCTAAATGGATGCCAAGTTCAATGGACAGTCCTGAAATTTATTTATAACAACATGAAATATAATTTCTTCTTATCACTTAGGATAATGTTTTGAAGCCTAAGGTCTGACTTGGCTAGTTTCTATATACGAATTATGTTATAGCCTTCGCAAGTTCTAAAAAGTTGGGAGTTCTTTTTATTCTTCTAAAAATTTGGCTTGCTATTAGAAACTAGCTATCGAACATAGTGCTCTTCCATGACTGTTTTACGCTATGTCCTAGCTGGTGCGTGCACGCAATGCGAGGAGATGGTGCGATATTTGACCGCACCGCACCGAATTCTAGTACCCGCAACAATGGCAAAATTGACGCATTCAAATATGCGGGAAAACGCATACGATTTGTTGATTTTAAACTTTAACTTATTTTTATAAGTAACCCATCAGTACCTTTCATGCATTCGTGCTGACAAGTATTAATATCATACGTTAAATAGTTAAATAGTATTTAAATTTGTTTGTGAATAATACATTTTAATTTACTATATTATGTCGTTAATTGAAGAACAACGAGGTTTAATCTTAATAGAAAATACTTATCTGAAGTATAAATTACTTAAAATGAGTAAAAAATCTAAGAGATCTCCTCCAAATGTCATTTATAAAGATAGATTTATATTTGGAGAATTTCATCAACTGTATCCACAATTACGAGCAGATAAAGTAATGTTTCGTGCATACACGAGAATGAATACAGACACATTTGACTACATTGCTGAACATATAACACCAATTGTTCAAAAAGAATACTCAAATTTTCAAGATCCAATATCTGTTGAAGAACGACTGTTGATAACTATAAGGTATAAATGTAATAGTATAAGGTATATGAACAACAAATTATAAACACTCTCATAGTCTCATTATTATGTTAATAAAAAGTGATACTATATAAAAGAGAACTATAATAGGCAAGTAGATATTATTATTTAAATTTAAAATTATTTTCTAATTGTAAACACATATAATATACAACACAATAATACATATTAGATCTTTTAAACATTTTTATTTAATCGAAAACATTAAAATAATATAAATAAGATACTTTTATTAAAGTCAAAATAACACAACTAAAAATAAAAAACAATATAGTTTGATAATAGAAAATAAAAAATATGTAACTTTTAAATAGATACCTCAACTAATGTAGGTATCTCACCTACAAAAATAAATGAAAATTATTATTAACTGTTTTTGAAAACTCATTAGCAAATAAAAAATTAAAAAGTATTAATAATCAACATATTATTGAAAAATGATATTATGTGTTATAATTTGGTGGATCAGTTTGTAGTGATAAAGACTGTTCAGTCGCTAAAGATTGCATAGGATGATGAATGGGTGGGAATGGAATAGGTTGTGATGATTGCATGGGTTGTACAGGTATTGGATATTGATAAGAATAAGTTAAATTGTTATTCATAGGTTGAGATGATGGTACAGACAGTTCTCTCATGATAACCTCTTGAATTTGTGTTCTTACTCTTAATTTTTGTAATGGAGTCATGTTACCGAAATAAGGGTGAATTGTAGGTACTTGATGATAATTCGTAAAATATGGAAACTAGCAAAGTCAGACCTTAGGCTTCAAAACATTATCGTAAGTGATAAGAAGAAATTATATTTCATGTTGTTATAAATAAATTTCAGGACTGTCCATTGAACTTGGCATCCATTTAGATCTCACTTCTTTTGTCGTTGAAGTCAACAATCAAATCATATATTACATAATTTATTGAACTTGGCTAGTTGGCTATCATTTTACATACCATATGTTTTGTTGGGATAATACAAATCGCATAACACATTTTCACAAATAAGCATATAATAATTAGATTTGTTATTGAAACTTTATACGCTGGTATAGCTATTTAATATAAGTAACTACATTCAAATATACTTATAAATAATACTTATAAATGTATATACGAAATCACTGGAAAATACGACAAGCTACAAGCTGATAATATTATCCCCTATACCGACTCGACGTAAGGAAAAAGATAAAATATCTGATTATCTATATTTTTGACATACAAAATATTTATGACTTTTCATCATCGATAAAAATGATACAGAACTTGATTTTGATTTGATAATCTTAAAATTAGTTATAACTTTATAAGTCTTATAACTATACACAGTAAAATGTACATCTAGTTATTTAACTTCAAAGTTTTGTTAGTATTGTTCGAAACATCTGAGTGTCCGTACATATCCGTTTATACTAATTATATACAGTTATACAAATTCACAATGAGCGAGAATGTATCATTCATGTTGAGTGAAAAAGGCAAACAACTACTAGTTTTGAATAATTTTAAATTTTTTAAGCATCATACATCTAAAAAAAATGAAATTACGTGGCGTTGTGTTATAAATAAGTGTAGTGCAAAAGTTTATACTTTGGGTCAAAATGCCCAATTAATTAATACAGATAAATCGTGTTTTGATCACAGCCATGCAAGTGATAGCACTTTAAATCGGCAATTTAAATATTAAATAATCAGAATTCAGAGTTATTCATAAATATTGCGTAAAGACATGAAATATGAATCTAAAAACATCGTCTACATACGGAGAAAAAGAGACCTAAATGTAATGGAATAGAACTTATACCGCTATACGACATAATATCCTTATTACCTATAATAGATACCTCACGGACTTCTGAATCCTGATAGAAGATGGGGTATAGATGGGGTGAAAAGCTCGTGGTATGTACATGCATGTATATACATATATATCATGCACATATATACACTAGGTAGTGATAGTCGATCAGCAATCCATAGATTGTCTTAGAACAATAATGCCATATTACACAATAAAATATGCTAAAAAGAGTGTACGCCTATATTATTTTCATTAATTTAACAATACCTATTTATAACAAAACAATATTTAATTTATGAAAGAAATTTAAGAAATTTAGTGTTATGGTTATTGGATAATATATACAACATACATTTAATAGTTTTTTTGAACAAAATTAATTTTAACTTAAATAACTTATTCAATTTAAACAGTTTAATTAAAAAGTTAACTATATACAAAACCTCAACTAGACGAATTTGATCAAAATCTATTTTGTGCGGATAGCTTGTAATTTATAAACAACCCAGAAACTCTATAAGATACAGAAAATGGGATTGCTAACGGACAATTTTTAAGGGGTTCAGACTTCAGGTATAGGCAATTTCATATTAGGTTTTTTCTGTGCGGGTCGTACAGGTGTGCGAGTAATAATTTATCGTTAGTGTGTGTAATGTGTATATTCTTAATCTATGGTATACCCCAAGGTCAGCTCCCGCATTTCGCCGCCATTTAATTTCGCCGCGGTACCGTTTCGCCGAATTTATTTTTTCGCAGTTCCATTTCGCCGAATTTATTTTTTAAGTAACTCTTTAACTCTCAACTTAAGATTACTCAACAATTATTCATTGTTTTATTTGTAGTTAATAAGTAATAATAATATTTTCAAATGAATCATTAATTCATCAATTGATAATACTCATAATAATATTATCCCAAATCTGCAAAATAATTTGATTTTTTATACTATTTTTTTTTTTAAATATTCCTATTGTAATGACGTGAAGTATGAACTATTAGATTACTGATGCGTGGTAGATAACACCAGTGATTTGAACGCATTGATATTTGCATAAATGCATAATAATCATGACTGTCAGAACTAGTAAAAACTCTTTTCTTCCACATCTCAACTAAGAAGAAAAATATATATTTATATAATATATTATACTTGCTTATAGTTTAGTATTACCTATTAATTGTTATACCTTTACGTTTTATAATATACGTATTGAAATTTTTTGTTTAATCCTACATAAATTATTGTACGAGGACTGTGGTTATGATTACAAAACTTATCGGAATGTACAGTGAATTCATCTGAAATTATTACACGAGCTCCACAGTTTTCAATACACTTCCAATATTTTTTATTTTTTATTTTTTTTATCAATTCTAAAATAATAGTTATTAAAAATAAGGCACTCCCCTTTTCGCTGTGTAGAAATATATTCAATATTCGACAATATTATTTAAAAATTGTGAACTGTAAATGCGCAAATACGTACTGGTGATAATCATATGACACTGACTGTGGCAGTGGCGTGTAACATAGCGTCTAAGTGTTGCTCGGGCAACACCTTAAATAAGGGTGGGTGGGTGTTTATAGATGAAAAATAGGTAATTTTATAGGCCGGTATTACAGTATTATGAGGGGTAGGTCTACTAAAATTATTTGAGCAACACCAATTTTTTTTATGATACACGCCACTGGACTGTGGTAACTTTGCAATTATCACTGCGACCGTCGCAACTTTATTATCAGTACCTATGTAATTATATTTTATAATGCATTTATATTTCATACGTGTACTTACGTTAACTATACAGATCAGTGATCACAATGGTGAATGGTTGAATGGTGAGAGGTGTTTATGATATAAACCAACATGGTAAATGTTTTACCCCCCCCCCCCCCCACCCAACACACACACGCACACACACCAACATGAACAAATTACGCCACTGTAGTACATTTGATATTATATTCTCATTTCTCAACATATATAAATAATAATAAATTTCCCTAAATAAAATATTATATTATGAATAATATTGCACGAAGACTACTGTACAATTTTTTATAATTAAATAATTTTTTAATAGTTAAATAATCCACCAAAAATAATTTTAAATATTTATTATACTGGCTATTATCGTAGGTAAATAAATATTATAAACTAAAAACGAATTAAACATATTTATCTATATAAAATACCATTGAAATAGTGTGTATGTATATTATATAGTCTGGAATGTTATATCCTTCAACACAACTCATCGTTATCCCTATATCAATTGGTTTTATGTTTTCAATATTTGTAAAAAAAAATATATATTTGTTTTGTAAAAACATTATGTTATGAGTACCCGTGTTTTATATAATATAATACTTCAAATGATATAAAAACATTTATTTTAAAAATCACAAAGTCAACTGGAAGGATGGGAAATGTGTGTTTTGTTTTAAAATAATCAGTCAGTTAGTCAGTTGGACTAGAAAATCATGACATAAATAAATATTCTAGTTTTATTTGACTTTCTTTACTTTGTTATCCAGTTATTGTCACATAAATCGAACAATGTACTCATACATAATGTCATAATTATATTACAATATGCGATGATATTTTATTTGTCTTCTATTTAAACATAATATACAATATTAAACATACACCGTTTATTTTATCTATGCAATTATTATTATGTTCTCTATAAAGTATAAGCTATAATACATTTATGTTGAGCTTTATTTTGTTATTTAGCTCTGAAGTTTTAATAACTTTTCTTTTTTAAATTAAACTATTTTCCTAATTTAAAAGTTTAAACTTATCAATTTGTTAATATTTAAAATTGCAATTTTGTGGAAGGTAATGGTTTTTACCAAGTTTACTTAAACAGTAATAATAAAATGTTTTGATGAACCAAACATCTCAATATATCAGCGATTTCTATAAAATATACAGAGTAATATAAATATCATCAATATTGTATATTATGTTCACAACAAAAAAATATAATATTTGTGTGTTTTTAAATAATAGCTTACCTATCAACACTGCATATAGACATATAGTGAGAATATATAGTACTATATAGATATTGTACTATAAAGATATTGTATTATATAGATAGGTATTGTACTATATAGATATTGTACTACATAGCATATTTGAAAATAGAAGTTTAAATATTATTAGGTAATTATTATATTATGTGACTGTCACACATCACTCATTGGTCAAAGTCGGATGGGCTGTAACTGTCGATCTGGGACAACGGTGGCACGTAGTAGATTACCCGAGTGGTGCTGACAGGCTGCGGCACATCCGGTGATAAGTTGCTGCAAGGCGACAAATCGAACGGCACTATCGTGGGGCTGCAACCCTTAATCGAGTACGTGACGATTGTTTCCGGTAGCTGGGATACGCCGCTTCGAACCGTGGTCGTCGCCGCCGCCGAAGTCGCCGCCGATGCTTTTTTCCCGAGATTCCGCTTCAGTTCTCCGACTAAGCGCCACCACCAGCCTAAGGGACGACTACCACTCTCCGTCGGGGACTTCCGGTCCCGAGCCCTGTCGGACCAGTAGTTGTCCTTCAGGTACGGCGTACGCGTCGCTGACCTGAAAAACGAAAAAACCGTGTACAGATCATATTATATTATTGCTCAAAGGCGGTTGGAAACTTGGAACACTACGATTTTGATAACCATTTATGCATAATATTATTATTGTCATTCACGGTTTCACCTCAAATACATTTTTGTAATAAATGATTCCGCGTGGTTTTAAATTATGGAACGGAAAACATGTAAAACCACATAATATTATATTATACCTACATAAATATTATCGCGGCCATGTACAATAGAGGATTCTTCTGTTTTAAAAACAAGACTTCAGGAAAAAATATGATTTTAGTTTACACATTATTAACATATTTTTTGAATTTGTAGTATTTGATATTTTGATTTTATTCTATTACAGTTTTGTTTAGAAAATTTCATAAGCTTTAATTTTGTACCAAAACCTTGAGATATTTTGGTAAGACAGCAGCTGAGCTGCATTATCAACTGTCAAAAGTTCATAAATTTAATTTTGTTGTTAAAGTATAAGATAAATGTAAATAACTATAATAATCTTATTATCATTTATAATAACAAGAGTTGTGGCTCGGTGTGGCGCGGTGTTTGCATTCAGTCACGAATGTGCTCCGAGTGTACGCACCGGCCGATGTCACTATAGTTCCCGGATAGGAGACCACTCGGGATTTTTATTGACAAATCCTTGCCACACATACACACACGTGTTCAAACTTCAAACCAATAGTACTCCCTCACCACAGTAGCAGACTAATGACCTCAGTTGTCGAAGCCTTAATTTCAAATAAAAAATAAAATAAAATAACAAGAGCGAACGAATGTATGGCAACGTTGAATACAAAAAATCATGCAGAATCGTGTTTTAAACTTATGTATAAAATAATATATATATATATATATCAATAACGGTATTTGTGGAATCGTGTACTTATCTATATGTTTAAAAAGAGTTGTTAAGATAATCTTCACGATTCCGAAAATTTGAGGAATTGTTTTTTACCGGTATCGACTACTCAGGGATCGTCTTAACAAACAAACGTGACGTTCGACAGGATGTACATTTTTTTTTTGGTACTTGAATTGTTTTAAAATTTTAAAACAAAAAAGTTTTTTGGTTATCACATTATGTTCCTATTTAAAAAGTTTGAATCATAATATATATATAGCCAACTAAAAGTTATTCCGGCTCCCGGCTACACGTATGTGTGTTTTCTTAATACAATTTTTATCTCGTAGGTACCTAAAAGTATACGATGTCTGTATACTCAAACTTGAAAGTTTTCACATCAAAATATATAATATGTATACACGGAGTATCAATATATCATACTAATATATATAAGTACATCAAATAGCCATATTATGTATAGGTTACGGTAGTATCTATCATAATATAATTATTTTAACATAACATTAATATATTAAGCTATACATTATAATATCAATTATATTATTTATATATATATATATGCGTAACATTAACAATATTGACTCAGTGCAATGTAGGTATACTCCGGTACTGTATAACATACGTTTACTATGATATTATACAAACATAATATATTAATATGTCATGGCACACATATTAATAGTTATTATACACATATAATAATATATACTATTAGATATACACCCTACCTATTATTATTATTTATGCCAACATATCGAACACGGACTATCTTGTGTTTCGTCATCGTGTCGTCTGACTATATAATCGTACTCAGATTGGTATAGTTGTAACCAGGGCTTAAAACCGTTATCAATCAAGTCGGTAATCGGCTCCGGTAGGAGCCGAAAATTTTTGAAAACCGGTAACCGGTTATCGTTTAATTTTGATATTTTGGTAACCGGTAACCGTTTCTTTAAAGATATTTCAAACACTATGATAACCGTTAATCGTTTAAAAACCGTTGATTATATTTTTTGGTAATCGGTTACCGGTTAAAACCGGTTTTTAAAAATCATTTTTTTTCAATTTTTTAAGGCGGGTTTCCACTATACACGGATGCGAGTACGTGCATACAAATCATTTGCTGTGATTGGTTATTTACGATCAGTTACCACACGGTTAACCATGATACCGTGTTGTTGGACATAGCTGAACATTTTTCGTGTACACGGCAAACGTGTATAGTGGAAACCCGCCTTTAATCATTTTTTTGAAACAGTTTATTTAGGTTATTCGTGGGTTGATAACATAACTATTATTATTACAAAATCAAAAACTTAATATGCTTTAATTTGGTCGATTTTCTTCAATTTAAATATTTATTTTTTCTAACTGCTTTAAAGTTTAAAACATACGAGTATGATCAAGATAATGGCGATCTTAATAAATCAAAAAAATAAATTGCATAAAAAAATGTTATTGTTATAATTTTCTTCTTTATAAGTATAACCGTAAAAAACCGAAAAAATATATAATAATTTTGTACTAATTTTTGTGACGGGCAAAAATGTGTTTCTCCAAGTTTGACGAATGCTTACCAGATATATACTTGGTACATCCCACTACATTACATTTACTACTGTTTTTATTTATATCATACGTAAAATACATTTCAAGAACAGGGTTCTTCATTTTTAATTTCCGTGTATAATATAATATGTAGTTATTCTTCAAATTATTTAAATCTTAACCCCTTTAATTAAAGTTTAAACTCTTTAAAGTTTAAACAACAGCTTTAAAATAATATCATTGACCAATGTATATACCATTGACCAATGTATAAAATATAAAGTGTGATAGACAGTATTAAAATGTCGTAAATACTAAATGGACTAAGCCCCTATTCCACCAACTATTTCGTTATAGGAATCAGCGCCCGAGGACGACGACGATGTTTATGACGGTATTTATAATATTAGTTATACAATTATACCTATATATATATATATATATAAATATATGTGATATTCACAACAAATAAGCAATACTCGACGACAATTAATTGGGGAAAAAAATTTAAAAATAGCTGGAAAATTAAATTCAACTATAATGTAATCATGACATAATTCAAGTATTAAATTCCACGAAAAAACCGTTAATTTTTTGGTCGGGAATAGATTTTGGTTATAATACCGGGATTGAAAAAACGAGGTAACCGCTTTGATGTTAATATTAAGATATTTACCTTGATAACCGATAACCAATAACCGCTTCCAGCATTCCAAAACTAAGAACGGTTATCGGTTTTTGGTTCTCGAATTTACGGTTTTTTACCGGTGTTCGTTACAAACCGGTTACCGGTTTTAAGCCCTGGTTGTAACTTGTAGCCATGCGATGGTATAATTCACTAACCATGATCTACCAGGAAATATCCAGATTGGGCCTAGCTAAACTTTTAGACACTACACGACATCATATTATTATGATATTATCGTAGCTTTCAGACTCAAGTTAAAAACGAAAATGATGGACGATAATATTATTATCGTATTATATAATTATCATGAAGATACATAGCCATATATAGCTAGGTAATACAATTTTAACTGTAACTTTGCAGTATTGCATACCGCGTGTCATCCTCATCCTCATCTTGGCACGCAGGAACCCCTTCTTCGACAACGAAGCAAGAACTGGTCAAATCTTCTGCCGGTGATATCACGCGGCTGCTATGTATCGAGGGCGTCGCAGTTTTGGTTGTACAGTCGACTTTTGCCACTATTAATAGTATTATGCAAATCACCACGATCACAGAAATGTTGAGTCTAAAAACAAAGGAGATTTTTCAGATTTCAGTACATTTTAAAGCCAAATTGCATAACTGTATCAGACTAATATTTTATTATATTTTACTTGTTAGATATAGCTGAGGTACCCAACATTGCCCTAGTTAAAATTAATCGATTATCTTCCTATCGTTTTTCGTTTTGCCCAAAGTTAAAATGTATTGTTTAATACAAGCAATATTATTACAATGATTAATTTTATGGTATTTAATTCTTAATAAAATGATTGGCATATTTTTTATGTGAACACAAAAAACTGGGGACAGATTCAACTACTTAAAAGCCGACGTAAATCCAATGTCGGAAAATCATAGAAGTAATCATTGTAATATGCACCTATTGTGATAGTAAGTATATTTGATTTTAGATTTTTTTTTTTTTAATATATTTGTAAACATTTTTATATACCACATTTTTACTAATAATTATAATAGTGATAAGTGATATAATCTGTACCTAACCAATGGCATCATTTAAAATAAACAAAACATATTTGATTTTTGTGAGCCGAAACAAAGCTCATGTGTGACTGTGTGAGCCACCCTATATCGAGTATCGACCGATATATGGGTTTAAAAACGAAGCTACAAACCCTCCCCGAGTCTCAAGGAATCTATTGATATAACTTTTATTTAAAACGGTCCAGTAGTTTTTGAGTACCTACATAGAGACGACTGGACGAACAAACAAACAAACATTCATTTTTATATGTTAGATTATTAATAGTTTATTACTCGTAGATACCTATTATGCAATAGTCATCTTCTATATTATATATATATAAATTAATTGCTGTTCGTTAGTCTCGCCAAAACTCGAGAACGGCCTGACCGATTTGGCTCAAATATTTTTTAAGATGTTCGTAATTGTCAGGAGAAGATCTAAAAGGTCTAAAAGGTATAAAAGGTCCAACCAGGGGATGTGCTCAAACGTCGATTTAGAGATTTATAGTGGAAATTTTTGTTTATAAATGGTCGCCATGGGTTTTAAAGCTATAATAATAAAAATTATTGGTTGCTGTAATGCTGTGTATTCATTCAATGCATTTAATTTTTTTGTACGCTGTGTTTTTATATTATATGTATCACAATTCACAATTACGTAGATTTTGAGCGTTTTATACTCACATATAAGTTACGTACATAAAACAGAGGAGTTCAGTTACATACTTGGTATAACTTTGATACTTTAGAGTTAAATCATACACTTACGTACAAACATCACGGGGTCCGCGATCTGCCGCAGATAGATTGCCTACCTGATGATATACTGCTGCGAATCAGAATATTTATACCGGGAAACTGAAAAGTTGAGATGAATTTTGAACAAAATACACCGAATATTAAATAACGAATTGAACAAAGTTTGAGTCATATAGAGTTGGTACATTTAACGGGGAACGAAGTGCACGGGATCAGCTAGTATAATATATTATGCACAATGCACTATATACAGCTTGCTCGTACTCGATACATCATACATACTAAAGGTACATCGTACATGTGCATATACCTATTACCTATTATTAATGCGAATAAAGTCATGTGAATAATGCGTCATAAGTATAGGTGTAGGTTGTAGGTAATTGTTTATAAGTATTGTACGTATGCGTATGGTCACAGTTTACCGAATTAGTTAAATTCGGTAGACAGTTATCATAAATATGATTTTGCCTTTAGGCTTTCAACCAAAAAATACTTTTGTAAGCCTTTCAATCGTATCAAAATATCAAATATACGTTTTACCAAGATAATAAGCTTGTAAATATATCTACCATAAAACCAGTAACCAGAGCTGTGGAGGTTATTGATTACCTTTGAACAAAATAGGAGATCTACAAGTTAGATTAGACAATTATGAGTTTTAAATGATGTTAGAAGTACAAGATTAGTAGTCTTACATTTCAGAAATCTTTAATAATTATAAAAATACTTTGATAAATATATAGTGTAACTGTTATATTCTGACTGTATATTAGGTTATACATATAGGTATAAAATTATAATCTTCTCGTTATCATTACCTATATATTATTAAGTATTTTTTATCCATACAAATATTTTAACAAGGTTTTAATTATTAGGAATGGTCCTTCATAAATTCTAATTTTAATCTTAACAATTAATAATTTATATGGGTACTTACAGTAGTTATAAAATATTACAATATAAATAAATGTTAGTTTAAAGAAAGAATTTGTACATTTATAATTTATAGCTTAAACAAAAGTAAATACTTACTATAATAGGTCATACATTTTACACTCGAAAAACTACCGAAGTAATTGTTTTATGAGCTTATAATTAATTTATATTATATTAAAATAAAATAAATTGAAGTTCTAAATAATGTACTAACTACTTATTTTCATTGATCGACAGACAAGATTCCAGATATCACGTTATCTCGTATTCTCACTAGGTACGATTCAACTTGAATAATCACATTTGTTATTTTTTATAAAAAAGGAAAATTCTAAAGAATAAAGTAATAAAGTATATTCAAAAGATATAAAACTATAACATTATGTGAAGTCAATTTTATGTGTCATTTATAATACTATAAACTTTAAAAGTTTTTTACAAACAAAGAATTAAATATAATTTATGCGATTTTATGATAGTTGGAAAACTCTGTAAACCAAATCTAGTTGAATTCACAAGTTTTATAATTCTGTAAATTATACCCAAATCATACCAAAAAATCTAAAAATGTTCTAAAGTTTTCATGGGAATTCACAAAATAATAGAAAATATTCAGTTCACATTTATTTTAAAGTTTTAACGATCATTAATTACAAACTATGATCATAATACAAATATACATTATACATATACCAATAATTTCTAATAACTAACAGTATATAATATAATATTATAATAAAATTGCATAATACCTATGAAATAGATAGAGGTAGCCATGGAGTGTTATAGTGTTATTCACTTTCAGTAAATTTACTGTAAAATAAAATTGAAATATATATAATTTTGTAGGTAAGTAGGTACATAATATTAATAATTAAATAAAAAATTATAAACATTTTATAATATTGTTCGATAAAAACGTTTCGACAAGACAATGAGAAAAATGTACGATATAGTAAGATATTCTTTATTATTTCTTTATTCGTTATTTATACTAATTATTACTATCATATTATCCTAATATGAATATAATCATTAAGTTCATGTATTAATCCTTTTAATTTATATTTTATATTTTTATAAATACATACCTAATTTATTTTAAACATTCAATGAATTAAAGATATTGAATACCTACATCTATAATCATACCAAACTAATTTTATCAAGAGTATTGAAGCAAATTATTTTTGAAGTCTTACTAATCTGTTAAAAAGGTTAGGTACATTCACTTACTTCATCGTTTTGCTACTTAATCCAATCGAATTAAAACGAATATCGACACTGGGAATATTTACCGGGCATGTTATGATAGGTACGACACAAAAGTTAAAACTGCAGAAAATAATTTAGGTAATAGTATAACCGTATAGGTAAACTGAAACAATAATTAATGATAAAAAAAAACCAATTGTATATTAAATAATCAAACCAGGATGTTAGATAATAATTACAAATTAAATTCCATTACTTCACATTGTTTATCCGATTAAGAAAAAAATATTCTTTTACATTTCATATTTTTGTCACGAACTATTATGCTGTACTCATTATTAGGCACTGTTTTTATTATACCTATATAGTAAAATGAACTACATTGAACAGGTTAGGTTGTTTGATTATAATATATATAGTATTAAAATTCTATAATAATAATAATAATAATAATAATAATGGTATATTAATATTAATATTGACCACAAATCTCAATTTATATTAGAAAAAATAAAGAGATTATATTATTACAATAATTCAAAATTTAAAATTTGAATTATTATTGTTTTTATTTCTTTGAACTGTAACTAAACGTAAAAACTTCAACAATGATTAAAATTGGCTTTTACGTTATGTTTTATTGCTTTGAAAATAGTTAATATTAATATTGTAATTTTATAAAGTAACAAAAGTTATATAATACGGGTTCTATCTATATATGCCGTTCTGCTGTATCGTTATTCGTTAAAAATAAATTATAAAGTGAACTATACTTACTGAAAAATTATTTAACTGCAGTCTGAACTAACTATAATGTTATATATAGTTGTATGCAATGATAATAAGTTTTAAGCGATATGAAATCTTATATAATAAAACGCTAATAACGCGTATAAGATCCGCGGGGAGCGCTCACGGCACTCCGCGTTTCTTCCATGACGACCAATCACAATACTTCCCGCGCGTTCGCTATAAATTCCCAGGGCAATACAGTTCTCCTACACATTGATAAGAAACTACTTGGAGGAAATTAAAATTTTAGATAATACCAACTGTCTTTTTTCAGAAAATTGATAGCAAGGAATTTAGTATTATACAACCACACCCACTGTACTTATAATACAAGTTACAACAACTAAAGTACCAAATAATAATAAATAAGTAAATAACCATAATAATAAATAACCATTAAATGGCTCAAAAGCCTTTATAAATATATTTAACAATTTTACAATATTATTTTATTATGCATACTACATATAAATTATACAATATACTAATAACTAATGAGTATTTTATTGTATTTTGAATAAATTTTTATGTCAGTTTTGAACTTGTCGATATTTTTAAACCAATATTCCATATTTATCATACTATATTTGTTGATAATTAGGTCCTTTGGAATATTTAACCGTTTATAATTATTGATTTTATAAGTTTAAAACGAATTTGTTTGCATCTTAGTTTTTAAACAACTGAGAAGAAAATTTAATTTGAAAAAGATATTTGTATAATTAATAATCATAATATAATTATATTATTTTCTTATATAATATAGTAATATAGTATTAAAGTATATTCTGAATGCTGATTATGATTTTAATAAGCCATTGTTTGTAATTCCATAAACAAGACATATTATAAAATATAAATTTATTTATTTCAAAAATAAAAATAAAATCTACCTCCCATTCTCCCGTTCATTTGCCGCTTATCATTTTCTGATAAAATGGTAGTCGGTATTCAGATTTTGATTTTCCATAGTTGGTAACATTGGGGTAGTCCGTTCTTATTGGTTGTAGGAGAACTGACCCCATCTCATAAATTCCGCTCGCTTATCTCCCTTTTCCTTATCAATCCTAATATTTTCGAACATTATTATTATTATTAAAAAAAAACCCGTGTTTTTCAATTTTTTGACGTGATAATAACGTCTTATAAATCGATTACCCCGCGACCGTCGGGCGGAGTGGGGGGACCCATTAAACGAGTAATTATTTTTGACGAAGTATAACTTAGCCGGTATTCGACTTAGAGACCCCGTACCAATGGGCATCTCAATTTTTTAGGCCCCAGATGAATTTTCAACATTAGGGAACCAAAGCCCCCACCCCCCCACATTTTGAGTTGAGTATAACTCGGCCGGAATTCAAGTTAAAGACCTCGGACCAAGGGGGAACCCATTCTTTTTATGAATACTACCGTTTTCCGCTTTAGGGAACGGGGGCACCTCCTCCCCCCCTTTTTGGATTTTGCTTTTTTGATGGATTTTGGTCCGGGAGAGTACTAACACCCACCTCGCCAAGGGGAAACTCGGGGTTTTGAGTTTTTGATAGGATTTATTGGGATTTTCTTAAATATTGTTTTTATTGATAAGGAAAGTGATAAGAATTTTATTTTATAGCCGCGAGCACGGCGACGCGGCTTAAGAGTCATACATTTGCCTCGAAATTTCATCTGAGTAGGTGGCTAGGTTGGTTAGGCGTTAGGATAAGTGACTCGAGGGTCGTGGGTTCGAACCCGGCCTCTGGGATTTTCGATAATTTGCGCAATCCGTGATAATTTGAATGTTTTATTTTCGAGTTTTTTTTTTCGTCACATTTTTTTTTTTTTGGCAAAAAAATATTAATATATATTAAAGTAGATATTTTAAATTGTAACTAAATTGTATAATGATACTGTACTATTTTATAAATAATAATAATAATACTTGATTTTACCGTGACCAACGCACCTATATGTTTCTTATATAAATACAATATAATATAACTAACCTACATGTAGTACCTACTTGATATATTACAGTTTTTAGGTTAAATACTGTTTAATACGGTATTAATAAACTAATAGATCTAATAGAACTGATTAAACTCTGGCAGTTAAATAGTACGACTATATGACTGCTCTTTTTGCCGTTTTTTTTGAAAATTATAGTTTTAGCCCCTTTCGGTCATATCACCCTCCCCGTCGACTACTTATTCGCGTTCCCTGCTATATTTATAGCCACAGACGAGTCCCGGGGTGGAGTAGTGTGTCGGAAACGAGAGTAGGTACCCGTGTAGGTATCGCTATATACAGGCATATATACGCATGTATATACATGCGCCTCGAGGTTCGATTTTTTTCGCAAATCTCGCGTTTTGAACGTCCGAAGGTGGCGGACACGGTGGTCCGCTCAAACGCCCTTAAGAGTCATAGATTTGACTCCTAATTTCATCTCGGTAGGTGGCTAGGTAGGTTAGGCGTTAAAACGGGTGATTCGACGGTCGTGGTTTCGAACGCCGGCGGGGCCGTGTTAAATCGAATTTCTTTTTTTTGCGTTTTTTTTTTCGTCACATTTATCATTTTTAACGAAAGTGTTAATTTTTTTTTTAAATTTGCATTATTATATTATATATATTATTATTATTCGTTTGACGATATTTATTGGGCAAAAAAATAATTATAATTAACATTTACCGACGCACCTACATGTTTCTTTTAATAATACATTATAATATAACTTAGGTGTAGTACCTACTTGATATATTACAGTTTTTACGTGATTCCGATTTGGTTAAATACTGCTACAGATTATAAATACTATATTAAAAAATAGTACGACTGTAATATGACTGCTTCATTTGCCGTTTTTTTCGAAAAGTCGAGTCCCGGGGTGGAGTAGTGTGTCGGAAACGAGAGTATGTATAATGTATTCATTTATAGATACCTACGTTTAATAGGATAGTATTACATTTCAATAAAATTTGTTATTCACCAATATAATTATCTATTTGTTAATTTGACTTAATTCTCATAATTAAATAAATATACAAGGTAGGTATATTTTAGAAAATATCCAATCAGAAAATTAGATTTTGTCGACTTATTTGTTATAACCGCGAAAACATAACAATGATTAAATTGATTACAGTGAAGCCTAACATAAAACACCTGATAACTGTTCTCTATAATTATCAACAAATACAATTTTATTACCTCCTGTATACTTTTTCATATTTGAACGGCCGTTTCGAGCACTTTTCGCTGTAGGCGGATTGTCCGTTCGGGAATCGACTTTCATCCGAGATGACTGATAGCTAGACATTCAAACTCAGAATTCGAATTTCCGATTTCAACACACATACGAGAACCGGACACACACGCCTGGTGCATGGTCTGCGATCCGACGTAGTCGGATTGCCTACCTGACTAGCTACTTCCATACGAGCGACTTACACCCCCACTGCATCTGACACTCGGGAATCGACTTTCACCCGAGATGACTGATAGCTAGATACTCAAACTCAGAATCCGAATTTCCGATTTCAACACACATACGAGAACCGGACATACACGCCCGGTGCATGGTCTGCGATCCGACGTAGTCGGATTGCCTACCTGACTAGCTACTTGCATACGAGCGACTTACACCCCCAGTGTCCCCCACTGCATCCGACACTCGGGAATCGACTTTTACCCGAGATGACTGATAGCTAGACACTCAAACCCAGAATCCGAATTTCCGATTTCAACACACACACACCAGAACCGGACATACCCGCCCGGTGCATGGTCTGCGATCCGACGTAGTCGGATTGCCTACCTGGCTGGCTGTGTCGTAGGATCGACTTGAATCACGTGACTTACGACTAGACACTCTTCCGAGTTCAAAAATTACCGCTTAACCAGTGCTGCCAACACGACAAAACACAATAACCGACGACCCCCCATTCCCGCCGCAGGCTGGATCAAAAAACCCAGCATCGCCGACAAAGATGCACCACCGCCCACACAGTCTTTCCGCCGTAGGCGGGATGACAAACACCGGAATCTAGTAATAATATAATATATGAGGGGCAGGTCAAGGAAATGATCAATATAGTTAGATATAATAATGTGTAAATACTTAGTATATTAAAAAAAAAGAAGCTCATACCTTGTAACTGCACTATTTAACACCACTAGGCATATTATAGTGCATTCGCTGTGTTAATAACAGGAAACATTCGGCTGATAGGTATTAGAAAATGAAAAAACTTTTAAT